AGGAGAGAGGGAGAAAGGACAGAGGAGAGAGACGAGAGACGAGAGAGAGAGAGAGAGAGATATGAGACCGAGAGAGAGAGAGAAGAGAAGAGGAGACCGAGAGAAGAGAGAGATGAGAGAGAGAGAAAGAGAAGAAGAGAGAGAGAGAGAGAGAGAGAAGAGAGAGAGAGAAGAGAGAGATAGAGAAGAGAGAGAGAGAGAGAGAGAGAAGAGAGAGAGAGAGAGAGAGAGAGAGAGAGAGAGAGAGAGAGAGAGAGAGACAGAGAGACGGACAAAGACAGATGCAGAGAAAGGAAGAAAGAGAAAGGCAGAGAGACAGCCAGAGCAAAGAATGAGAGGAGAGGCGAGTAAAGAAGATGAAAAAAAGAAAAGAAAAGAAAATCAGGAGATAGGATCAGTGCAGGTGTGACAGGAAAATGAAAACGAAAAGAGATATGACGTAATAAAGGAAATAAAAACTCGGAAGATTAAGTGAAGGGTGAAGATAAGAGAGATGAAGAAAGAAAAGATGAAATGAGAAGGCGAAAAATATAAGATTTTATCTTCTTAGAAGAGAGAGAGAAGAGAGAGAGAGAGAGAGAAAAGAGAGAGAGAGAGAGAGAGAGAGAGAGAGAGAGAGAGAGAGAGAGAGAGAGAGAAGAGAGAGAGAGAGAGAGAGAGAGAGAGAGAGAGAGAGAGAGAGAGAGAGAGAGAGAGAGAGAAAGGAAAGACAGAGAGAGAGAAGAAAAAACACGAAGAATTATAAAGAAGGACAATTGAAAAAAAGAATCAAAATTAATCTATTTTCATTTTTATTATCGTTAGTTTTTCCACTTCTTTCTTTCTTTGTTCATTTATCATTTTTAGAATATTTCAGTTCGTGATACGAAAATAAATTCAAGGATATTCTTTACATTTTTAATATCTAGATAAAGCATTTTCACTACAGAAAGTAATAGTATAATGATGATGATGATGATGATGTTAATGATAATGATAATAACAAATAATAATGATAATGATGATGATCTAGTAATAATAATATTAATGATAATGATAATTAATAACGATGATAAATGATGATGATATAGTAATATTAATTATGATGATAACAATAATTATGACAATTTTGATAATGAAAATTGTAATAATAATGACAACAATGATAATGATAATAACAATATTAGTGATAATGATAATGACATCAAAAGTAATATTCAAATTATAGTAACAATAATGATAACAGTAATGACGATAATGATAATGATAGGAATAATAACAACAACAATAATGATAACTATAATAATAACAACAATAATGATAATAATTATAGTAATAATAGTACTACTGCTGATGCTACTGATGATAACGATAATGCTAATGATAATAATGCTAATAGTAATAATGATAATAATAATAATGATAATAATAACAATATCAATGATAATAATAATAATAATAATAATAATGATAATAATAATAATATATAATAATAATTATTGATATTGATAATATAATAATGATAATAAAAATGATAATAGCAATAATTATGACAATAATGATGATAATCACAATAATTGATAATAATAATGATGATAATATCGATAATGATAATGATTACAAAGAAAATAATAATTATTATAATAGTAATGATAACAATAAGTGATAGTAATAGTAATGGTAATGATAATAATAATAAAAGTATTGACAACAACAACAGCAATAATGATAATAGGAATAATAATGACAAAAAAGAAAAATAAATTAATAAAAATGGACACAAAGTACGCGAAGGAAAATAAAAAAAAAAAAAAAGAAGAGGAAAAAAAAGAAAGGAAAGGAAAAGAAGAAGAAGAATAGAGAGAAATGGAAAATAAGAAAAATAAGAAAGATAAGAAAATGAAAAGAAGAATGAAAATAGAAAAAGAAAATATAAAGAATAAAAATAATAAGAAGAAGAGAAAGAAAGAAAGAAAAAAGAAAGAAGAAAAAGAAGAAGAAAGAAAATGAAAGAAGAAAGAAAAAAAAGGAAAGAAAAAAGAAGAAGAAGATGGAAAAGAAGTAAAAGAAGAAGGAGAAGAGAGATAGCCGAGGTGAGAATCGCCCGCTCCTTCTCTCGGCCAATCAGCATCCATTATTCTGAGCCAATCACAACGTCGGGCTCCCCCCCCCTCTCTCCTCTCGCACATTTTCTCTTTGTCTTGATTCTCTTCCTTCTCACTTCTCTTTTTTGGGTTTGGGTCTCTCTCTCTTGGAGGCGGGTGTGTTTTGTTCTCTCTCTCTCTTTCTGTTTGTCTTCTCTCTCTCTCTCTCTCTCTTTCTGTTTGTCTCAGTCTTTTTTTTGTGTTTCAGTTTCTCTCTCTCTCTTTCTTTCTCACTCTCCCTCTCTTTCGGTCTCAGTTTCTCTGCGTGTGTGTCTGTCTGCCTCTATCTATCATCTCTCTTTCTCTGTCTATCTATTTCTCCATTTTCCCTGCTCTCTCTGACTCCCATCCCCCATCTCGTTCCTCTCTATCCTTTCCTCGCTCTCTGCCTATCCCAGTTACATTTTCCTTCCCTCTTCCACACTCTCTTCTCTCCTTCTTCCCTCTCTCCTCAACTCCGCTCTCTCTTCTTCCTCCCTTTTGGCCTCTCCTTCTTCCTCTCCCTCCCATTATCTCTCTCTCTTTCACCCTTCCCACCCTCCCTTCCTCCCTTCCCCTCCCTCCCTCTTCTCTTTCTCCCTTCCTATCCCCCTCTTTCCCACTCCTCCCTCTTCTCCCTCACCTCCACATCCTCAAAGGGAGAACCTCCTTCAACCCCAGATAATTTTGTACTCTCGTGAAGGGTATCGTTACCGTCTCAAAGATCCTTAAATCCTTTGCGACTGAGGACTCTGTGAGGACGAAGGAGTGGGGAAAACGCCAGTTTCTTCGATTACCTGTTCTTCCTATTTCTGAAATTTGAGGGTTTTATTTAATCTGTGTATCTATTAATTTATTTCTAATTACCTTGTTATCGGTGTTGGTATAATAATTGTTTTATATTATTTATTATTATTATTATTATTATTATTATTATTATTATTCTATTATTATTATTATTATTATTAATTACAATTATTATTCCGATTCTAAATTACATTTAATTCTTTATAGTTCCAATTACATTATTTTATTACAATTCATTCATACACCTAATAATGTCATTTCTATCAATAGAAAAGAATATGTAAACTTCGATAACTCCCTTAAGGTAAGACTACTTATTAATAGATATTTAGTAACTACAATCATTTATTTTTCTTAATAAAATCAGAGTAACAAGATTGAGTGAGTGATTAAATGTTTCGATTATATTTTTTTTCAACATTTTGTTTTATTTTTATTCTATAAGTTCATTTTACCTACTGTACATATGGAAATGTTTATACACACACACACACACACACACACACACACACACACACACACACACACACACACACACACACACATATATATATATATATATATATATATATATATATATATATATATATATATATATATATATATATATATATACCACTACTTATTACTGGAATATTCAAGACGCAGATAGTTGAGGAATGGAGAGGCTGAGAATGAGTTGGAAGGAGAAGGACATGAAGACGCATTCATGCAGGAAAGAAGGACTCGTTAAACAAAGAACGAAGAAAGAAAGAGAAGAGAGAGAGAAGAGAAAAAAGAAAAGAGAGAGAGAAGAGAGAAAGAAAAGACAAATGAGAGGAGATGAACTGTTACGAGAGAGAGAGAGAAGAGAGAAAGAGAGAGAGAGAGAGAGAGAGAGAGAGAGAGAGAGAGAGAGAAGAGGAGAGAAAGAGAGAGAAGAGAGAAGAGAGAAGAGAAAGAAGAAAAAAGAAAAAAAAAAAAAAAAAAAGATGAAAGAGATAAAGACAGATAAACTGTTGCAGATACACTTGCAAAGACAGAATAAAGATAGACTGGTGTGAAGACATGAGGATGCCAAGAGAGGAAGAAAATAGACATAGGAAGAAAATAGACAGAGAGATAGATATTTAAACACACATAAATCATATTATTCTTTACTTCCTACTGTAGAGCAGCCGCCTCTCCCAACTGTCTGTGCAAACATCTATCAGTATTTTTCTTCTCAAACCTCTATTTGCGAATATTCATCTTGCCTCGGTTGCCACGTCGTCTAAATCCGTACTCCGTTGCCATTTTTTAAAAATATACTGATTATCGATATATTTGCAGTTATTGTCCTTTTCCCGCGTCTAAATACATTCTCCGTTTCTAATCTGTATTATTTTTTTT